CGCCAACTGTTGGCTCCGGGGGGGCTTTCCTCCCTTGATATCGGCGGTGGACAAACCTCCCTTTAGTAGACCTCCCCTTAGCGAAAACGACCTGGGGCCGAACCCGACGGACCTGGACCCGCAAAAATGACGGCCGCGACGCCCTCTCGCGAACCGAAAACGGCCAATTCACTAATCGACGTGTCAGGGTAGGAGGTCTGCCCACCCCCGATGACAGTCGACACCTCCGAGTCGGCGCGGGCGCGCGCCCCCTCGGCGCCGCCGGAGCCGGCATGCGGAGGCGACCCCGGGCCTGCCGGGCGCCGGCCCCGGGCGCCGCGCGCGCCGCGGGCCCTCGCCCGGCAGCAGCCCGCGGCAGCGGCCACCGCCGCGGCCAGCGCCAGGCCCAGGAGCAGCGAGAGCCCGCGCTCGAGGGCCCGGCCGGAGACGGGCGGCGCGCCCCACGCGGCGGCCACCGCCCCGGCGCGGGCGCAGTCGGCGCCGGAGGCGGCGAGGCGGCAGCTGCCCACCGCGTCCAGCAGGAAGCGCGCCCAGAGCCAGGCGAGGATGAGCGCGGCGGCCAGGCGGAGGGAGGCGTCCGCGCCCGGCTGCGCCAGGGCCGAGAGGCGGGCGGCCGCCAGGGGCAGGTTGCCCGGGTGCCCGTGCCACGCCTCGGCCTCGAGGGCGGCGCACCTGCGCGAGGGGGGGGGGGGGGGGCAGGCTTGCCATCGCTCGGACGTCCATTCCCTGTGCACGTTCCGGTCTCGTGCGTGTTTTGTTGGCTCGATGGTCCAGGATGCTCCTTCATACTCCCCGCCGAGAAAAGCTGCACACGTCCGAGCGATGCCCAGCAGGAGGGCCCCCCTGCGCGAGGGCACACGCCGCGCGGTGGCCTGGCGCAGCCTGCCAGAGCGGCCGGCGGACTCTTCTCTGTGTCGCCCGCCTGGGGAGATGCTCCACGGGCTTGCCGTCGCTCGGACGTCCATTTCCCGTGCATTTTTCGGTTTCGTGCGTGTTTTCTTTCCTCGATGGTCCAGGATGGTCCTCGTGGTTTCTCGCCGAGAAAAAATGCACACGTCCAAGCGATGCCAAGCCGGGGGGGGCCGTGCCACGGCAGCGCCGTGGTGCGCATTCGACACGCCACCGATCAACGCCACCGGTGGACCCCCGGGCGCCACACGACTGTTTGCCGCACGGCTTGACCCATGCACTCCAAGACTGGCGATCGGCGGGCCGTGTTGACTACGTGGTCATCACAAAGCACCACCGAAAATGAAAAAACGACGTTTCACTCTTTTGCATCTGCAAGGCGCGCCACGTCCAAGGGAACATCGGGGCTTCGAGCGCCAGCTACCCCAACAGAAGTGCAAGAGCATTAGCATGCCTCATGTCGCAACCACGCGGGAGAACAAACATCGACCACGTTCGTCCCGAGGACAGCAGCACCAAACCGAAGAATTCTTCCACGCGGAGCCACCACATCTGACATTCAGACCACAGCAATATGAAATTCAGACCAGGCCAATCTGAATTTCAGACCGTGCCAATCTGAATTTCAGACAGGCCCAACTTGAATAATTCATCTCAGGCAGAATGCCTCACCCGAGTCCCTGGGGGGGGGGGCATCTGAATTTCAGACAAGGGCAATCTGAATTTCAGACAGGGGTAATCTGAATTTCAGATGTGGGGAGCGCCGCCCCAAACAAAAACGTGTCATGATCTCCCTCCGCGATCAACCTGGAGCGAGGGAAATGCACTGCCCCACCGTGCCGGTGACAGCGCACCGACATGCAAGTCACACGAGCTCGACAATCGGGCGCGTGCGCGTCGACGTCGAGCGCGCCAACGTGTCTGCGCAGCCTACGAAAAGCCCAGGCCCAAAAACTCATTTGAATAGTTTGATCGTGGGGGTGTCTGGTGATCATGAGATAGTGACGTGTTGGAACCGCTCGAACCAAACCTCCAACGTCGTGTTTTGGCGTGAGCCCTGGAGCTCTCGATCTCATCCCTGGAGCCAGGTCGCGGGCCGATGTTTGATGGCCTTGGGGCCCGCGAGCGTCGCCTAGAGGCCGAAATGTGCCAAAAGCGATCTCTTTTTGTTCGCGACACGCCTGGAAGTGCCCCCCAGACCTGTCCTTGGTCGCGTTATGACAAGAAGCTCAAAGCGAATCCAGCCGTGACTACCAGCGAATTCCACACACGCACACACACAACAAAGGAATACACGCCAAAATACAAATCGAAGTCGCCAGCGGGCCCAGGCCTCCTGGCAACGAGGGCGCTCCAGAAGGTCCAGAAAGTCTCGAAGAGATACGCGAGTTCTGGAAACCCTGAACCCCAAAAAGCTTCCATCTCTCGGAAGACCGGTTCTCATTTCCGCCGGCCCTGCGCCAGCTTCCGCAAGCGGCACCGCCGTCGTTTCTGGAGGCCTCTTAGATGGGGTCCGGGTAGGTGGGGTCGGAGGATCCCGCCGCATCGGCGATGCATCGGCGATGCATCGGCGATGCATCGGCGACGTCGGCGACGCACCCGCGACGTCGGCGTGGGGGAAATCGGGCTCCGCATCGAGCCGCACCGCCGATGCATCGGCGATGCGGCGCGATCCTCCGACCCCATCCACTCCTCCTCCTCCTCCTCCTCCTCCTCCTCCTCCTCCTCCTCCTCCTCCTCCTCCAACTTCTGGTGGTGGTGGTGGGAAACAGGCCCATCCTCCACCCTCGAGAGGCGCCTGATCCGCCCCTGCGCCCCGCCGGGCTGCTCCGCCACGGCGCAGCTCCACGCGTGCGCGGCGCCCGCGAGGCCGAGCCCCTCCAGGCGGCGGGCGGCGGCCAGGGCGGCCTCCTGGAAGGCGCCGCCGCCCGCCGCGCCCGCGGGCGCGGGCGCGCCGGCGGGGCCGGCAGCCCGGACGTGGTAGGCCACGGCGCACCTGGGCCCCCCGAAGCCACGACTCTCCCTGAAATTCCCGGGGTACCAGTGCAAGGCCTCTCCTAAATAGATACGCCCGCTCGTGCAATGTCCAGGAGGAGGAGGAAGAGGAGGAGGAGGAGGAGGAGGAGGAGGAGGAGGAGGAGGAGGGACCTCCAACGTCCTGACAAATAGCACAGGCAACCCGCGTAGCGTAAGGATGCGCATACTAAGGAGGCGCGAGGGCCTCGGAGAGCCATGCGTTGACTGTTCTCGAGCGGGGCCGGCCAGCGGGAGCTGCGGGGGGGGGGGCCTAGAGGGGGCAAGGATAGGGCAGCCTTGGAAAACTCGCTCATCCTTGCTGTGCGGGTTGACTGTAGGCGGAGCTCCCTTTGCGTCGTTGTCGGAGTGCGGGGGGCGTGCTCGCGCCCCAGGGCAAGCAAAACACGATCCCGGCGGGGAAACCAGAATCCGGGTGAGTTGTCGAGAGGTATGGGGACCCCGTCTTGAAAAAAATATCCTGGCGAAGGATCGTTGTGAGTAACGCGTTGTGGGTGCCGCTTTCGGTGGGCCAGGCAACGCGTGATCAGGCGTGCCGTAATGGATGGGGGGCACACATGTGGGCGGTCCCACTGGGGCCTTCGCTGGAGCTCCCATATATGGGGCCACGAAGCGCTGTAGTGGGTGATGGAGACGCATGCGGGCGGTGCCACTGGGATCTTCGGTGGAGCCCCCTTTCTGGGGCCACGAAACGCTGCACTGGGTGTGGCGGACGCATGCGGTGCCACTGGGGCCTTCGGTGGGCCAAGCAACGCGTGATCAGGCGTGCCGTAATGGGTGGGGGGACGCATGCGGGCGGTCCCACTGGTACCTTCGCTGGAGCTCCCTAAGGGGCCACGAAAAGCTGTTCTCGATGCGGGGGCACATGCGGGCGGTCCCACTGGGGCCTTCGGTGGTGCTCCCTATGGGACCGCGAAACGCTGTACTGGGTGGGGGGGCGCATGCGGGCGGTCCCAACCTTCGGTGGAGCTCCCTATGGAGCCACGAAGCGCTGTACACGCTGTACTGGGTGGGGGGGGGCATGCGGGCGGTCCCACTGGGGCCTTCAGTGGAGCTCCCTATGGGGCCACGAAACGCTGAACTGGGTGTGGCGGACGTATGCGGTGCCACTGGGGCCTTCGGTGGAGCCCTATGGGACCACGAAACGCTGTACTGGGTGTGGCGGACGCATGCGGGTGGCCACACCGGGAACTGCAGTGGAGCTCCCCATGGAGCTACGAAACGCTGTACTGGGTGTGGCGGACGAGTGTGGGCGGTCCAACTGTGACCTTCGGTGGAGCTCCCATATATGGGGCCACGAAGCGCTGTACTGGGTGTGGCGGACGCATCCGGCGGTCCCACTGGGACCTTCAGTGGAGCTCTCTATGGGGCCACGACTGCGCTGGATGTGGCGGACGCATGCGGGCAGTCCCACTGGGATGGGACCACGAAGCGCTGAACTGGGTGTGGCGAACGCATGCGGGCGGTCCCACAGGGACCTTCGGTGGAGCTCCCTATGGAGCCACGCTGTACTGGGTGTGGCGGAAGCATGCGGGCGGTCCCACTGTGACCTTCGGTGGAGCTCCATATGAGGCCACGCTGTACTGGGTGTGGCGGACGCATGCGGGCGGTCCCATTGGGACCTTCGGTGGAGCTCCCCATGGGACCACGAGGCGCTGAACTGGGTGTGGCGGACGCAAGCGGGCGGTCCCACTGGGACCTTTGGTGGAGCTCCCTATGGGGCCACGAAACGTGCGAGGGGTGTGCCGAAAGAGGAGGGAGGCAGACGTGGGTGGCGACGACGATGATGAGAATGATGATGAGGATCACGGTGAGGATGGGAGGAGGGAGGAGGAGGGAGGAAGGAGGCGGGAGGACGGAGGCGGGAGGAGAACGCGGGGCGCTGTCTCTTCAAAACGAGGACCCAACGCCACAGGATGGCTGGGAGTCATAAGCGCCGGAGGGCTGGGGAGGCCGCCTGGGCCGGCCCGACGGCGGCGGGTTGACAGCGGCGGCGAAGGTTCAACGGCGGCGATGGCGGCAGCGGCGACGACGGCGAGGGTGGCGGGGACGGCGGCGTGGTAGGCCACGGCACATCTGGCGCCGCCCGTACGGGTTCGGGGTTGGAGGAGCCAGGTGCGCGGATTCAGGTTCTGAGCATCCTCGTCGCGAGGGCTGGATGCGCATCGAGTTTCTGGCCGGGACGCACCACACACCTTAACAGGTCTGGAGGTCAAGCGAACTTGGAGGCTGCCCAAACCCAGACCTCCGACGTCTTGAAATATAAACTCGATGAGAAAAGTCTTTCGTCGCTTTCGGCCTGAAGGGAAGGAGCCGGGGCTCAAGGGAAGGAGTCGGGGCTTCTGGGGTTCCCGCATGAGGGACAACATCTCGACATCAAAGGTCTGGGAACGGGGCGGGAGTACATAGATGGGGTCGAGGATCGAGAATCTGGGGACCCCCCGCATGCTGGGGGTCAGAGGGCGTGTGGGAGGATTAGATGTCCCCTTCCCTCGCTTCTCCCTCCCCGGCTCCCCGGGGCCCAGAATCACATTTGAGGAGGGGGAAGACGGGGACCAACATCGCCAACCAATTATATGCGTTACCCCCTTATCAATTTAGCATTCTCGACCTCTCGCTTCTGATTGGTCTCTGAGGCCTCAAGATGGCTCCAAGATGGACCAAGAGAGCCCCAAGAGAGGCCCAGGCAAGGTCGAAGACGACCCCAAATCAGGGTCCCCATGGGCACCCCAGAAGAATTCTCTGAGGGGCCCACGAAAGAATTTGCCGGGCTCTAGAGGGGCAAGGCTACTTGACCTCTCCCCTGTCACATGATATCATGCAAGATGGCCCCAAGATGGCCCCCAAGGGCCCAAAGAAGGCCCCAAGAGAGCCCGAAAAGGCTTCAACAATGGCCAACGATGACCCCTTATGAAGACCCCAAGTCACAAGATTAGCGAAGGTCTGCATGATTGACTCCTGGATCTGCGCAGGCTCACCCCGATTTCGGTGCGAGCTGCCCCCCGTCCCTGTTCCGCTCAAAGCTCCTACACTTCCCTGGCCGAGGCAACTCGCTTGGGGAATGGTTCCTGGATAGGCTGGTGAGGACATGCTGAGCGGAAAGAACTCTGGGTTCTTGCATGGGCCGCACAGAGACATACTAGTACTATATTTCTCCTTGGACGCGCGAGTCCGACCCGAACATATAGTATACCCATATTGTAGTATATCGTTTCCCAAGCGGTATGGCCAGAAAGCGCCCGCCACGACGCATATACTATAAGATTTCTCGGTGCGCGCGTCGCCCCTGGGGGGGCGACGAGCATACGGCATTAGTATGTTGGGGTGACGCCAATTGCAACTCACGATGGGCGCCTCAAGACATCTGATCGGCGACACGAACGTCGAGGCCTTCTCCTGGACACCACCTTTTCTCTAAACACAACTTGAGGATTGCGGCCAATTGTCCATCGTGCCTTTCGTCACTGCGCGACCATCGCCCCCCTATGATTCGCGACAGCCACCACTCCGGCCGCACTTCCCCTCGATCACCGATTCTCACCTCCACGGCTCCTAACACCTCATGGTTCCCTTCTGCTCCGATGCATTCTCTTCCTCCTACTGCTCCTCCTCCTCCTCCTCCTCCTCCTCCTCCTCCTCCTCCTCCTCCTGCTCCTGCTCCTGCTCCTGCTCCTGCTCATGCTTCTCCTCCTCCTCCTCCTCCTCCTCCTCCTCCTCCTCCTCCTCCTCCTCCTTCTCCTCCTCCTCCTCCTCCTCCTCCTCCTGGCCATTTCTTCAGGGGTCGGCAGAGTGGCGCAAGCCTCTGAAGCGAAAACTGGGGACGCCTGGGGCGTTGTGCAGCCTCCGGGGCCTCCGGAGGCCTCTGGAGACATCTGTCGGGCCGGGCGAAAGGGGGGGATAGCAAAGGGGGGAGTTGAGAATCAGCTCACGTAGCTGATTTTCCCCGCGCCTCCCGGCGCCGGAGGTGGCTATGTGTCGAGGAATGGGCCCCTCGGTGAGGCCGAAACCAGCTGCATGCAGCAAATTTCGTAACCCCCCCTTTCCCATCCCCCCCCTTTCGCCTGGGCCGAATCTGGCAACCAGGGGCCTCTGGAACCTCTGCGGACCTCCGAGGTCCCCCCGAGCAGATGTCGTCGGAGGACCGCGCCGAATCGCCGCCGCATCGGCGATGCATCGGCGACGTCGGGACGGAGAGCATCGGGCGCCCGATCGCGCCGACCTGGAGGCCCTCCGCAAGTCTGGAGCCATCCGCCAGACTGAAGTGTTGCGGTCGGCGAGGAGGAGGAGGAGGAGGAGGAGGAGGAGGAGGAGGAGAAGGGAGGGGGAGGAGGAGGAGGAGGAGGAGGAGGAGGAGGAGGAGGAGGAGGAGGAGGAGGAGGAGGAGGGGAGGAGGAGGAGGAGGAGAGGAGGAGGAGGAGGAGGAGGAGGAGGAGGAGGAGGAGGAGGAGGAGGAGGAGGAGGAGGAGGAGGAGGAGGAGGAGGGAGGAGGAGGAAGGAGGAGGGAGGAGAGGAGAGGAGGAGACGCTGGCTTCGGCCGGATTCGGGCCCGGGAGGGGCCAGAGAAACCCGTGTGCTCCCCGCCCTCGCCTCTGCAGACGACTCCGACGCCCAGACTGCAGGACCGCGCGCAGGTGTGTGCACCCGCGGCGCGGGGCGATCCTGCGGCACCAGCTGCAGCCTTGGCTGCCCCGGTACGCAACACGCAACACGTGGCGTATTGATACGGAGCTCAACACGTAGGCTGAAAACGTAGGTCCGACGCGATACGTTCGCCAAAATGTGGCCCAATGCGTGGAGCCAACACGCAACGTATTGACACGGACGTCTTGAACACGGGACGTATTGCGTTTCCAAAACGGGCGTATCGAGGCAACTAAGGATACAGCTGGACCTAGGACAGAAGACAAGAGACCCTCCGCCGGCTCAAACTGAAGAGCAGCCGAGGGCGCCCTCGACCAGGACGCACAAGAGCACCCATCAGGCAGGAAGAGCCTCAGGGTATCCCCGAGCCGACCTCGATCTTATACCTCGGTCCGACTGTACTTTTGAGCATCGTTTATCCGACGCCCAGCGGCGTGGCCCAGGCCCCACTGGCCGATGTACCCCCCTAGATGGGGATAAGGGTCGTTCCCTCCGGGTTTCAAGGGGTGTATCCCCGACTGGAGTGGTAATTTGGTGGGGGTCTCGAAGGGGATGGGGATGGGGATAGAGGGAGGAGGGAGGAGGGAGAATGGAGGAGGGAGGAGGGAGGAGGGAGGGAGGAGGGAGAAAGGCACCAATTTTGGGGAACCGCGGCGCACCGCAGGTCGTCGTCGGGCTCGTCGCGGAGGGGCGGCCAGCACCTGGCGCGGCGCGCCGCGGAGGGGACGTTAGGCGGGGGGGGCCCTCCGCGGAGGGAGCCCGGGGCCCTCGGGGAGCCGACGACCTGCGCAGGACGGGCAAATACGAGACCGATGTTGCATCACAGCAGCAATTCGGCCCCTGACTTTCGTCCTGGATTCGGTTAGTGAAGTGATGAATTTAGGGGTCCTTACGTGGGAAAAAAACATCACTTCACTAATCTGGGGCCCCTGGGGCCTCAGTGGGCCCTGGGGCCCAAAATTAGTGAAGTGATGGTTTTCGGGCCTCGGAGCAAAGGTCCTCTTGTGATAGGGGAGCAAAAAAAGTGGCATAAACATAGAAACTCGGAGGTCCGCGCGGAAATCTCGGATCGGCTGGACCCCCCCCTCCCTGGCGCGCGGAGCGCGCCAGGGGCGGCGCTGGAGGCGCCGCCGGGGGGCCCCAGCGCGGATCCAAGAAATCCGCGCGGACCGTCGAGTTTTTACGTTTATGTCACTTCTGTTCCCCTATGTGAGGCGCCAGCGGCGACAAGCGGAAGGGTGCTTGTGCGGCAGCCGGGGGCGAGCAGAGGTGTGCTGCATGCGTGCTGGGTGCGAGCCGCGTGCGGGGAAGGCGGGTGGGGCCCGTGGAACCACGCCCGGCCTGCCTGTGACAGTTCATCACCACACCCCCTTCCCCCGTAGAATCTGAACAGCGGCGGGCTTGGATGCCACGGATCCGATTTCCGTCCGTCACCTGATGTTCTTCGATATTGTACATTGAGAACAGCGCGTAAGTCGGGTCCGCATGAAAAAAACAGAACGGAGATCAGATCCACCACATCCGAAATCGGATCCGCGCGGGGGGGAACTTGGATCCACCGCAAAAACAATTCCAAACCAAATTTGGACCCGCGCCAACTGCAGTGGATCCGCCAAGATTGATGTCAGAAGGCGCTGGCGCACGAGCTGAAGGCATCATGCCTGGGCCCGAGTGGAAAAAACTTCCGTCCTGCGGATGTATGCACCCACACTGTTTTTATCTGTGTTTTATTATGGTTTCCTTTTTTTCAGTTGTTTTATGTTTTATGTGTTTCATGTATGTCATGTAATGTGATTGTGTTTAATATATGTATATAGATGTGTGTGTTTGTTTGTATATGTATATTGTTTTATGTGTGTATCGGTTGTAGCACCCACACCGAGCCTGGCGTGGCCCCATCCTGGGCCCAGGGTCGGAGCCCTGAAGCGCGCCTAACCCGCACCTGCACCGATCCCGGCATGCCCGACCCTGGGCCCAGGATCGGTGTCCTGGCTTGGCCAGGGAGGCATGCACAGTCAACCCGTATAGTAAGGATGCGGGATAAGCATGCAAGGGCCTTGGCCATGTCGAAGCTTCCCGAGCGGGGCGCGGCCAACGGAAGCGGTCAAGGATAGACCGAAGAGGCAAGGCTGCGAGGGTACCCTTGGGAAGGTCGTCCATCCTTACTCTGCGGATTGACTGTACACCGTCCCAGGCCCAAGATCGGCCTGGCCGATAACTGGTGCAGGATCGGAAGGGAACACGCTGGCACACAGTCGACCTCCTGCTGAAGCGGCGCAGCCAGGCCATACTCCCAGTGGCACGCGTAGAGGCGACCCCGGGTCCAAAAACCAGAGTGGCGCGCGGACACAAACACACACCCTGACTCACTCACTCACGCACACACATTCACCAGGCTAGGCCCGGGTTGGGCCTGGTCTGGGCCGGCGTGGGCGCATTATCGCTGGACCCCCCCGTGCACCACGTAGCGGCGGGAGCTGGGGGCACGCCCGCCGCAGCTGCGTCTGTACCGACGAACGCACGAAGCCCCCCCTTAGCGCTGGCCTTCCTCAGCCTCTGGCGTCGTGGACAAGCTCACGCCAAGAGTCTTCGCCCCGATTTCGGTGCCAAGGGGCCGTCCTGGGCCGATACACCTCGAGAAATGCAGCGGAAAGGTGGGGCCCAGGACCCCCCGCCAGCGGAAGAACAGCACACGGCATGAGCATGAGCTGCCAGGGTTAGGTCGGGCATGTCCTCCTACGGGGGGATCTTGAAGGAAAAATAAAGAAAAGTCAACGAATATTCAAAATGGTCAGAGCACAAAAAAAACATCCCCTGACTATTTTGACAATGCTTGAATCTTCCTCATGTGGAGGGACACGCCCGAATTAATGCCAGGGATCCGCGCGGATTTCTTGGGTCGGCGCCAGGCAACCCCTCCCCGGACCTCTTCCCTGCGCGCGGAGGGCGCCGGGGGCGCTGCCACGAGCGTGGGGAGGCGGTCCAGCGCCGCCCCAAGAAATCCGAGCTGTAACGATTTTTCGCGACGCCGTGAATGTCGCCGCGTGGAATCTCAGGTCCCCGTCGACGAGATCGCCTCGACATGAGATCTCGTGCCAGCGGCGTCCAGGCTCTTTTCTCTAAGAGAAATCGGATACCCAGGCCTCCCCTCGCCGCAGATCTGGGCGCCGTCAGAAGTCGTGACGACAGAAATGGCGTTCTACACTTTCGGCCACTGGAGGGTGCTTCCTCGCCCCAGGACTGTCGGAAAACGAATCAAGATGAAACACCTACCACACACAGTAGGGGACTACGTCACGAGCACATTGCCATGTCGGAAGGGAGAGTACCGCAGCGTGGCTTCTTCAGCTCGTGAGCCCACAAAGCTCTCGACCCTCTTGCGGGGTCGTTCTTCTGACCGGGGGTCGCTTTCTGATGCTCCCTCGCGGCTGGGAGGCCGAGACGGACTTCCAGAAGCCAGCACCTGCGACAAACCTCCAGGGCGCCCCTGTTCCAGGCCGCTTTTGGAGGCCTGGGCCACAGGATGTCTCTCTGGAGGCCTCCGTGGAGTGCCCGAGAAAGGGGCCCAGAGCTTCCAAGAAAGTTTTCAAGGGGCCCAAGGACACACACTTAAATACACACAAATAACAATGTTCCCCATGTTTTGCCATATTTCCTGGGTTTCTGTCTTCCCCACCACCCCCCATATTTTCTCATATTTTCTGGGGGGTCGACGATTCATTGTGTCTGTGTGTTTCTTTGCCTCCTGAACTTTGAAGACCCTCCCTCCCCCCCGGAAAAAAAATATCCCAGTGCGACCCTACCTAGGAGTTGGAACCCCTAGGAAAGCAGCATTAGTAGTAACAGTAACGCTAAGCTAAAGCTAAGCTAAAGCTAAGCTAAAGCTAAGCAGCTAAGCTAAAGCTAAGCTAAAGCTAAGCTAAAGCTAAGCTAAAGCTAAGCTAAAGCTAAGCTAAGCTAAGCTAAGCTAGCTAGCTAAGCTAAAGCTAAGCTACTAGCTAAGCTAAGCTAAGCTAAGCTAGCTAAGCTAAAGCTAAGCTAGCTAGCTAAGCTAAAGCTAAGCTAAAGCTAAGCTAAAGCTAAAAGCTACAGCTAAGCAAGCTAAGCTAAACGCTTAAGCTAGCGAAACGCTAAGCGAAACGCTAAGCTAAAGCTAAGCTACAGCTAAGCTAAGCTAAAGCTAAAGCTAAAGCTAAAGCTCCCAGGGGACTGGGGGGAACCGCTCCCAGGGGACTGGGGGAACCGCCCGGGGCGTGTTCCACTGCCCGGCCCCTTTAAGCTGAGAGAGTAAGAACCCTTCTAGGCAGAGACTAGGTAGGGAAAAAAACCCGAGGCAACGAGGCAGCCACAGTCCGCACCACCGCGAGCCGCGCCCCGCCGCGGCGACCGGCCGGGGGCGGGGGGGGGGCTCTCCCGGCCGATTGTGTCGGGGGCCCGGGGCCCCCGAACACCGGACAACGAGGAGCGAGGGGAGGAGGAGGAGGAGCGAGAGGAGGAGGAGGAGCGAGAGGAGGAGGAGGAGGAGGAGAGGGAGGAGGAGGAGGAGGAGGAGGAGGAGGAGGAGGAGGAGGAGGAGGAGGAGGAGGAGGAGGAGGAGCGGGAGGAGCGAGGGGACGGGGCCAGTCCCGACGCCGTGATTTGTGGAGGGGCCCCAGGGCACACAAAGAAATAATACAACCCACACACACACACACACACATCCCAGGACTCCCGGATGTTCCCGTATTTCCTGGGTTTTCGTCGCCCCCCCCACTTCCTATATTTTCCCATATTTTTTCTGGGAATCGACGATTAATCCCACCAGCCCTCTGGGCGTAGGTGGTTTAAGGAATTTTCTCGTCCACCCCTCCTTTTTCCCCTTCGGGGAGGGGTTTACCCCTCCCCCTAAACCCCCTCCCCTGGACCTGGACGGGGGGTTTCGCTGGTACTTGGAGCGTCCAAAACGGCCTCGGCGAGAAAGCCAAAAACATCGGTTTTACTACGGTTTTGGCCCCATTTGGGCTTCTTGGGGGGGCAGGGCTAATTGACCCCACCCTCTTCTTTGATCGATCTCCTCCAAGATGGCCCCAAGAAGCGCCTAGGAGGCCCCAAGAGGCGCCAAGATGGCCCCAAGATGGCCCCAAGATGGCCCCAAGAGGCCCCCAAGAGGCCCCCAAGAGGGCTCAAGAGGCTCCCAGGATGGTTCCAAGAGGCCTCCAAGAGGCTCCAAGAGGCCGCCATGAAGCTCCAAGAGACCCCCAAGAGGCCTCCAACAGGCCCCCTAAAGCCCCCCAAGAGGATCCCAAGCGGCCTCAAGAAGCCCCCCCGAAGCACCCAAGACGCCCAAGAGCCCCCATTGACCGCCAAGAGACCCCCAAGACGCCCGAAGAGGCTTCCAAAAGGCTTCCAAGAGGCATCCGAGCGGCATTCAACCATCCACCCAGCGTCATCATTCTCCTCATCCCTCCTTCGCTCGGTTCCTCGCCACCCCCTCATCTATCCATCTGGCATCCTCTTCCGCCTCATCCTTTGCACGGATCGGCTGTCCCTCTCGTTGCTCCCCAATTTCCCTGATCTCTTCAACTTGCCTGGACATCGTTTCTGGAAGGGCTGGTGGGGATAGGTTTTTTTTTTCGCGGCCCGCAAGGAAAAGCCCAGAGGGCGGCGTGAACGAGGCTGGGGCACAGCGCACGGAAATGCAGATAATTAGCGGCGCAGGACAAGTGCCGGCCGAAGAGGCAACCGCGAAGGCGCCAGATAATTAACAACGCTGGACATGCGCCTGCAAAAGAGGCAACTGAGAAGATACCAGCTGAAGCCCAGGCGCCACCACGCGGAACCCGAAAGCCGCTGAGCGTGTGCCAGCGAAAGTGGGGAGGGCGGAAAGGCCGGACCCGCAGGTGGGGTCAGACTGCCAGGCGGAACGTGCCAAAACCACTCACTCACTTGGAACGTGGGCCAGACAGTACGCCGCTGAGGGGGTTCGGGTCAATGCCTGGAGAAGGCCGACCACAGGAGAGAGCGCCCGCGATGGCCTCTGGCACCAAGGCGGTGTGCGGCCTGCGCACCCAGAAGGCCCTCCTGTGGCAGTAGCCAACGTCCAACACAAGCGTCAGAACGGTGCCTTGACCGACGTCCGTGTCCGCCGATGCCGGCAAGCGGCCGACCGTACTGTCAACACGCCCATGTGAAAGGGGGTCAGAAGTTGCCGCCCCTACGGGCGACGAAGTGGAAGCCACTGCATGTTGGCTGGTGGGGATACGCGAAGCGTCAAGAATTGTGTCTGTGTATTTTCCCCTCCCGAATTTGTTCCATACGGGGCCCACAGACGTCCCGACCCAAACCCTTGGCCCCGTTTTTCCTCCCAGGTCTCCGTCTTTTTTCACCGCACCGACCTTGCAGACGTGCTGCAGCGGATCTTTTCTGGAGTTTTCTGCCAGCGCAACACCCCGCAACGGCGAGCGAAAAACGGAGTGAATGTCACGTGGATTTCTTGTAGCCTTCACTCCTGGCCACCAAAAGAATCCGCGCGAGATTCACTTCGAAATCCGGAGCGAAATTCTCCGGGACAGTCCAGGCCCATCCCAGTGTTTCCCCGAGCGCGATCCACGCTGCGATGCTGGCGCCATGATCTTCTGACAGCCTGCAGGGCCCAGAGCGGGCAGATGGAGGCCGAGATCGAGGGAGAACGACGGCATCGGCGAAACACGGCGCCGGGGGCCTGGGCGCGAGGAGCAGGGGGGGGGCCAAGGTGCGCCCGTCGACTGGTGCTCCGCACGTGTCCGGCGGCCCCCTGGTCAGCGCGTAGGTGGCGGCCGTCGGGTCGCCGGCCTCGGCGGTGACCTCGCACTCCTCGGACAGCTGGCAGAAGCCGGTGTCGTAGACGGTCGCGTAGCTGCACGCGGGCTCGTCCCTGCCGGAGCGCTTCTGCTGCCCGCGCCCCGGCAGAAATCGGAGCAGCAGCGCAGGCAGTTTTCGAGGCTCACAAGGGGGTCCGGTGGCCGCCTGCGGGCCGCGGGGGCCGTCGGAAGCGGTGCGGGGCCAGGAAACTGGGCCCCCGTAGGGTCTCGAGAGGACCCGGGGGGGCCCTGCACCGCAGAAACGTCACTACATCGGATGTGCAGTGGGGGCCGATCCACCAGAGACCTCCTTCAGGACACCAGACCCTGAGACCCCAGGACGCCCGTGGACCTCTGGTGCGGGAGCGTCACGCTTTCCACGGCAAGACCGTCGAGACCCAAGACACCCAGGGCCCTCTCCGGCAGTCTTGGGGCTCTTTGGGGCTGCCTTGTGACACTTGGTCGTATGCTGAGCGCCTTTGGGCCGTCGTGGGGCCGTCTTGGCGCCGTCTTGGGCAGTCGAAGGGCCTTCTGATGCCGTTTTGGGTCCCACGGGAGGCCTTCTTGGGCCGTCTTGGGGTCGCCTTAGGTGCCCTTTGACCCTGGAGGCGAGCGGGGTGCTTCTTGGCACGGGTCTCCACCGCACGGGCCGGCGGCGGGCAAGCGGCCTCCTCCTGCCTGGAGGAGGAGGAGGACGAGGAGGAGGAGGAGGAGGAGGAGGAGGAGGAGGAGGAGGAGGAGGAGGGGGAGGGGGTGGGGGAGGAGGAGGAGGAGGAGGAAGGAGGAGGAGGAGGAGGAGGAGGAGGAGGAGAGGAAGTGAGGAGCAGGAGGAGGATGGAGGAGGAGGAGGGCTGAGAGGTGGAGGAGGAGGAGGTGGAGGAGGAGGAGGAGGAGGAGGGGGCCTCCTCGGTGGTCGCCACGGCTGGACACAGAACCTCCCGCGCCCCGGCCCGCCGCTGCGCGGGCCCCCGCCGCGGGGCCTGGGTGTCATCTCGAGCCGCTCCCTGACGGTCCCGGGGCCCGAAACCAGCCCCTGGAGGAACAGCATGAAGGTGAGCTGGGACCGACCGTCCCGGCCCCCCTGCAGGCCCAGCACGATTCTTTTTTAGACCCCCCCCCCCCAAAAAAAATGCTCTAAGAACAAAACCCATGCTCTTAGAACATTGACCCGATGTGTTAAAACGAGACAGTCTCAGCCAGAAATGTTCTAGGAACATGCCGCGCAGACCGCAGCGGCTTCTGAGAACATGTTTGGGTGGGCCTATAGGAAAGGCGGGACGCTTCGCCACTGCTCGGTGAAGACAGAAGCAGAGCCCCCTCGAGCTCTGCGAGGCGCGGGCAAGAGGGGGGTGCCCAAGAGGGGGGGGTGCAAACCATGACCGGCGGCACGTGCGCGGCCCGGCGGGGGGGCCAGGGACGTCATGACATAAGAAGAGGCGCCATGAAGTCTGGGGAGATATCCTGGCCCCCGCCATGATATCCCCCCCCCCTAGGCATCACCCCCCTCGTTTCCGCCCCCTCGAGCTCTGCGAGGCGCGGGCCTGGGCACGCGGCTCGACAGAGTCTGGCCGCGACGGCCCTCGGCAGGGTCCGGAGGCCGGTCTCGGGCGGCTGTGGCCCGAAGGGGGAGGAGGAGGCGGCGGCGGCGCGACGGGGCGAGGGGCCTTCTCCGGGGGCCGTGGGCCTCCCGAGGGGATCGGAGGACGAGGAGGACGAGGAGGAGGACGAGGAGGAGGAGGACGAGGAGGAGGAGGAGGACGAGGGGGAGGAGGAGGACGAGGAGGAGGAGGACGAGGAGGAGGAGGAGGACGAGGAGGACGAGCATGTCCTCCCGCAGGTGGCTCTTCGACGAAACATCGGGAATGGTCGAAACGCAGAGAGGCACACAGAGATAGCCAAGAGAGCACGACGGATCGCCCTCGGACGAGTTCAATGGGCACTCTCGAGTGGACCTCCTGTAGAGTTGTGGATACCACGACAATGGACACTCTCACAGTCCGATCATGGAATTGACCATGTTTTTTAAATGTGCAAAACATGTTTTAATAATGTTTCAAGCGTGTTTTTAACCTGCTTAAGACATGATTGAACCATCTTGTAGACATCTGGAAATGATTTGGCAGCATGTTTCCTCTCCATTATCGGGAGTTGGTAGAACTGGGTTTAGTGGAACCTGGTTGAGTGGTCTGTACCAGGGGCGCCCCCCCGTCCCATGTCCACTAGCCGGACAGGCGTCACCCGAAAAAACACCAGCTGCGGCAAACCTGGCTTAGTGATTCTGGCCAATTCAAAGGCTCCGGGGCCCTATCACTAACCAGGTCCCCTTACCCGGGATCCTGGCCATACCCGATGGGCGCCTCTTCGGCAGTCTTGGAGCCTTCTTGGCTCGTCGTGGGGCCGTCCTGAGGGTCTCTTGGGTGGTCTTGGGGCGGTCTTGGGAGCCTCTTCGGCGCTCTTGGACCACTGGAAGCTCGAAAACGCGAGAAGCCAAAAACATTAAAACAACAAATGGAAATCGACGATTTAGGCCTCTTCGGGCCGTTCCCGGGCGCCTCTCCATCAATCGACTTCCGCAACTGCAGGAGGGCCGCGCCCGACCCGAGGCTCGGAGGCTCCCGCACAGCGCCCCCCCCCGCGAGAGGCGGCAGGGCCTCCCCGAGGAGCCCCGCACCCCCTCCTCTTCCGGGAGAGGCCGCCCCCCTCGCCTGGTTCGGGGGCGCGCCAGCATGGACTCGCGGTGCATGGAGGCCTCCTAGATGGGGTCGGAGGACCCCCCTACAGGCGGATTTTGGACGAAAAATGAAATATATTCAGAACTGCTCAAAACTAGGCAAAACATGCTCAAAAGTTCGCCCGCAGACTATCTTTGGGCTATTTTTGAATATTCCTCCTGTAGAGGGACAGGCCCGACTTAAGTCCAGGCATGGACTTACGTCGGGCATGTCCCTCTACAGGAGGAGTATTCAAAAATAGACAAAAGATCGTCTGGGGGCGAACTTTTGAATACGTGTTGCCTATTTCTGAGCAGTTTTGAATATTTTAGATTTTCGTCCAAGATCCGCCTGTAGGGGGACACGCCCGACCTAAGCATGGACTTGGCGCGCGGTGGCCACGTCCATGGACCAGGGGAGGCGCCCTCCCCCAAAATGCGGCCGGTGCCGCCTCTCGCCCGGCGGCGGAGAGCCTCGGTGTCCCATGGAAACGGGGCCCGTCGCTCATCCACGCCCCCCTTGATCCATGTTTTTTGTTGTTGTTCCTTGGGCGTGGGCGCGTGAGTAGGTTAGCTCCCCAGAAACACGCACAGAAAAGTTACTCAAGACCGGCTTCTCGCCAGTGCTTAGGAGACGCGACCGATACGAGTTGCCCCCAAAACGTGTCGGGCTAGCCCCCTTGATCCATGTTTGCGATGGCCTGACTTCTGCTGAGGGGCACCCACAAGGGCGGGGAGGGGAAGCCTTTAGGCACACCAGGGGGGGCACGTCGACCCGGACTCGGCGAGGCACCGCCGACAGATCGGCGGCAGGCCCCCGATGGTGGGTCCGCACGTCCCTGGGCAGGCTAGGACTATCGGGCCCCCTATCGGCGCTCGATGGGCGATTGGGGGCCCAGGCATCCCCCCCCTGGACGGTTTCCCCCGGGGCCGTAGGCGACCCGAGGAGGGGAGGGCGAGGAGGGGGAGGAGGAGGAGGAGGACGAGGAGGAGGAGGAGGAGGAGGATGAGGAGGAGGAGGAGGAGGAGGAGAAGGAGGAGGAGGAGGAGAAGGAGGAGGAGGACGAGGAAGAGGAGGAGAGAGGAGAAGGACGGGTCGCCTAAGCCCTTCGGAGAAACCCTCCGTCCCTCCTCACATGCCCATCCCCGAAAAAACGAACCCGAGTCAGCCCTGACCCGAGTCACCCCTGATGACTTGGGGCCCTGGACGCCCGAATTATCCGGGGTAACTCGGGCCGAAAAACGAACCCGAGTCAGCCCTGACCCGGGTTACCCTTGATGATTCGGGGCTCTGAACATGCCCGTCCCCCCCTATCGGCGCCCCTGACTTGCCCCATCGGCCAGGCTCCACGCGACGCTGGCGCCCCCGGAGCCCTCCTGGGTGGCTCGGGCCAGTTTTAGGTCGGGTATGCATTTTCGCAGAAAATAATAATAATAATAATAATAATAATAATATAGAGATATATCAAGAAAATACACCAAAAATGTTCAAGCATAGCTTATATAGAAAAAGAAAGAATCGCCCCTTGACTAGTTTTTGGCTAGTTTTGAATATTCCTCCTCTAGAAGGACAGGCCCGACTTAAGGCCAGTTTCCGTTCTCTGAGTGCGACTCGCCGTGGCCGCGAGGGCCCCCCCCCCCACACACCCCGGAGCCCCCCCCCCCAACAGAAGAGAAGAGGCAGCAAAATGCCCTCTCCTCGCGCGTACAGGGGGAGCTCGACCACAAGAAGCCTTCCACAGGAAACCCAGACCCTGAGACCCCACGGCGTCCACTGATGTTTGGTGTGGGAGCGTCGCGCTTTCCGTCGCAAAGCCGTCGAAACCCAAGAAACCGATGGGCACCCTGGAGGCGAGCAGGGTGCTTCTCGGCATGGGTTCCCACTGTAGCCGATGCAAATACTCTTTGCATCGGTTCAAAGTTAACGGATGATCCCCGAAAGGGATCCTCAACAATCCCCTCTCCTCAATCCATCCGTCCGCGCATCGCCAGCAGAATCCGCTCGGGTCTGGTCCCTGGGCCCCTTGCAGAACCCGCCCTGGCTGAGTGTTCGAGCCACGTCCAGCTGCCACGAGGAGAGCCTGCAGAACTGCCCCAAAACCTCCGCAGCGATGTCGTCGCCGAGCACCCGCAGAAAAGCAGCAACGTCAGCAAAAGCATGAGCGACATCACCGCCGTCGATGTCTGCGGCGCCGTCAGCCTGCACCACCGCATGCAGTCGACGGGGTCGACGTCGCCCTCGTTTAGCAGCCACTGCGCCGCATGACAGTCCCCGCCAGCGCAGCAGTACCTGCAGGATCCCAATTTCTGCTGCTGGTAGTATATTCCCTCCGCCTCCTCCTGCATCCCCCCTCCTGCAAAACAGCTCCTCCCAGTCGCACCACTCGGCGTGTCGTTGGGGCGGGCTTGGCGTTTCGCCTGGTACTTCCTCGAGGTGTACAATCAACCCGTATCATAAGGATGCACGGCGAGGCTGCCAGGGCAGTGGAGGGCCATGTTACAGTGTTTCGAGCGAGGTTGGCCAGCGAAAGTCGCCAAGGACGGGCCGAAGGGGCAAGGATGCAAGGGCACCCTTGGGAAGAAGGCCCATCCTCACTACGCGGGCTGACTGCACGAGATTGGAGCACGACGTGTCCAACAGCTTCACGGATGGAGGCCAAGTCCCTTTCCAGCGGGGCTCTCGCCTTGGCGCCGCGCGCACTCATCTGAAGCATTCGAATATAACATATAATACGAACCAGAAGAAACATAATAATAATAATAGCAATAATAATAGTAGTAGTAATAATAATAATAGCATTACCAATAATAACAATAACACTAATAATAATGATGTATGATACTAATAATACTACTAATACGAATAATCATGATAAAGAAGAAACAATAAGAATAACAAGCATAATGCTAGCAATAATGGTAAACATACGAGTACTGATAATGATAACAATAATACACAAACAAACAGGGGGCGCTGTTTTGCCGCATGGGATTATCGCCCGAGACCTCCAACAAAAAAGCGCACACCATACGAAGCATGCCCCTCCATCCCGTCCTCCATCTCCTCCTCGTCCTGCTACTCTTGGCCTCGAGTCCCTGCGCCAGTGCGGAAGGTGGATGAGGAGTAGGAGGAGCATCAGCAGCAAGAGCAGGGGGATGACGACGACGACCACCACCACCACCACCACCACCACCACCACCACTCCCACCACCACCACCACCATCACCACCACCACCACCACCTGCCGCCCCTTGTGCGCGAGGTGGTAAGTCCCCAGAGGTCCCCAGAAGACTCCAAGGGCCCCCTTGGGTTTTCAGGGGCCCCAGAGGCCCAAGAACCTGCAGAAATCTGCTCCTCCTTCTCCCCCTCCTACTCGTCTCGAGCACCTGGCCTGGTGCTAGTTGTGGAGGGGAAGGAGGAGAAGAAGGAGCATGAGCAGGAAGAGTCTGGCGGATGAGATCGGAGTGGATCGGACTCGCTGACTTGGGCGCCGCCCCGATGCCACCGCAGCCACCGCTGTGAGGTGGCCGCAGCAGGCGGAGAGGCCAAGAAGGAGGAGGCGGAAGAGCAGCAGGAGCAGGAGGAGGTCGTCGATTTCGACGATGACAACGATGACAACGGCATTCTGACCAGGATTTCGAGGCGAATCCACCGGTGGCGACGAGGGCCTCTGAGGAGGCCCAGAAACGGGAAAGCGGGCGAAGGGGTAGAGGCATGGGTATTCCTCCTCCTCCTCCTCCTCCTTCTCCTCCTCCTCCTCCTCCTCCTCCTCCTCCTCCCCCTCCTCCTCCCCCTCCTCCTCCTCATCCTCCTCCTCCTCCTCCTCCTCCTCACGACGACGACGACGACGACGACGACGACCACGACGACGACGACGACCACGACCACGACCACGACCACGACCACGACCACGACGATGACGACGACGACGACGACGACGACGACGACGACGACGACGACGACGACGGCGACGACGACGACGACGACGACGAGCACATGCCCCGGTGCGCCAAGCGGAACGTCTCCGCCCCGAGCCCCTGGCCGGCGCCGCACTCCGGCGCGCGCGGCAGCCCCCCGGGCGGCTGCTCCCCGGCCTCCCGCTGGCGCGGCTCCAGGGCGCCTGCTTCGAGGAAGCACGTGCTTCTAAGATCAAAGCCAAATTTGGAGAGAGGGAGGGAGGGAGAGGGAGAGGGAGGGAGTGAGGAGAGAGAGGAAAGGGCGGGGAAGGGGGGAGGGGAGGGAAGGGAGGAGGAGGAAGGAGGAGGAGGAGGAGAGAAGGCGAAGGAGGAGGAGGAGGAGGAGGAGGCGGAGAACGAGGAGGAGGAAAAGGATGACGAGGATGAGAATGAAAAGAGGAGGATGGGTCGCAGCCCGCAGAAAGGCTGCACCAGAGCGGAATCTGCCTCATAATGGGGTAGAGAGGGAGGACCAAGGTTGTGGACTCAGGCGGAAGAGCAGGGCAAACCAAGCACGCACCACCAGATGTTCCGCCCATAACGGTGAGCGCCTCATGGAGCATTGGATTAAGACAAGAGGAGTGACCCAGGTTCTGGAAAAGAGTTCGAAGAGGGTCGAGGCAGAAAACATGCGAGCGCGGCTCATCGGAAGAGAATATTTTGCACCCCAGCGGAGTGCACCAGATCCACTCGCGGCCAGCGACAGTGCACCCCAACAAAAAAAAGGCGTGCACAAAGGCTGTCAAGTTATTCTGCTACGTCCATTTCAGCTGTACTGGCCGATCCGCGGTGTTCGACGTTATCCTTTGAAATGCAATACGACATGCTTCATAATCGATCATCTCTGCATGCAGTTTACTGCAGACGGGTTTCGGCATGTTTCGCGCGGGACCAGGACGGGGGAGGAGCAGGGGGAAGAGCAGAGAAAAGGTAAGAGGAGGGAGGGAGGAAGGGCTAACGGGTTATCAACAGTGCCGCGGAGGGGTGACAAATCAACCCTGAGACAGCGTCGTGTTCACGAGACTGTTGATACAAGCGGTCCTGCATGGCGCATAATACGGCGGGGACACTGGATAAGGAAACCTTGGATCAGGGATCCAGGGTCTGGAAGCCAGTGGAACTCCAATCGTGGATCGGCCATGGGTACCTTCGCCGCCCTCGACGGATAAGGAACCCCTCAGGGTCTGAAGGCGCTTGGGCGCATTCCTCAACCAACGCCCCCGCCGTAGTCAACATACGAGTGCGACAAAGGACTGGGGCAGTACTGCCACGAGTCGTAGTAATGTGTATTCAAACGGCCGAAATACGACTGAATTTAACTAAAATCACCATATTCGTTTCAAACTCTGGCGCGGCCGCAACCGAACAGAGAGCCCCCTAATACACGCATTCTGGCGCGGCCGCAAAACATCCAGGTGGCGGAAAGGAGGGGAAGACAATTCAGCCCATGGGACATTATGGGGCAATGCAGCTGGTGCTCCCTTATACAATCAAGTACCATGTATGTGTAAATTTATATATATATATATACACATAGATATACACACACATATATATGTATATACACATACATACATACATACATACAAACATATATACAGACATACATACCTACGGTTATGCAACAGCACCCCCGGGGGGCACCCGACTAGATTAGGAGGAGGTGGTGGGCAAACAAAAAAACAGTGCCCTCGGGTCACGAGTAGGAGGGACCTGTCAAGGCCGTCGGGGGACCTCGGACACCCTCGCACACGTGGCTGAAAAATCGGCCACCGCGGGCCGACGCGACGAGGCGCACGCCCCCGTGGCACGAGACCGGGAGACTGCCACACGACGATGCCACCCGCCGCGCCCTCGGCGCAGGCGGTTGGACGTCGAGGGGCCCGAGGGACCCCGCGCTCCGAGCCCGCTTCCTTTGTGCGGGCGGCAAGCCCGGCGGGGGGCCCCAGAACCCCGCGCCGAAAGGAGGGGAACCCCTGGCACGGGGGGGGCCCAGACCAAGGCCGGGCGAACGGCGGTGTTGCTCCACGGGGGGAGTTGGGAACCAAAGTGCAGGAAGTCACGAGCTGCGCTCTCCTCGATGTCCAGTCTGCGAAGGGACCGAGCGAGCACGACGCAGCGAGTTTCAGGCAAGCGCGAGCCACGCGTGCCCACAACACCCAGACACACATCGCCGTTGCCTACATCGCCGTCAGTCCGCCTACGGCCAGACCCACCCGCGGGGCCGCCGCCCCACAGGTGGCCAGGACGAACGGGCCGCCCCCTGCCACCCTCCGCCGGTCCTGCGGCCTGGTGCCCAGCTCAACCTCTACCCCGCCGATGCAGGCGGCGCAGACCACGCTGCCCCCCGCGATGCCCGTGCGCTCACAGGCCCACCCGGCCTCTGCGGCGGGGGGAGGGAGGAGGTGGAGCGACCCTGGCCAGCAGGGAAGGGCGGACAGGGGAAGGACAAGATCCAAAAGAAGACGGCGGGAAGGAAAGGAGAGAAAGGTCCGCTGACCCTCCAGGGGACTATCCCACGAGCGCGAATCCACAGACTACAGCCGCCCGACTACGGCAAGAGGAGGAGGTGGAGGAGGAAGAGAAGGAGAATGCGAAGGGGAGCATCTCGTTTCGGTTGTACTCCAACTCCTGATCACAGCTTGTACCGCTACGACGTTCCCTAGCGGGCTTCTCACCGTTTCCGGATCTCTTTTGGCTCCTCATTTCCTTGCGGCTGCTGCTTTTACATCTCGAATGACGCCGTGGCAACTGCTCGACCAAAGCTGGGCAACTGAAAAGGGGGAGCATGACAACGACGACGAAGACAACGACAAAAAGGTGCAACGCACCCAGGGCGCACCCGACTGGAGGAGCGGGAGGCGGAAACAGAGCAGGAGGTGGAGGACAGGGAGAAAGACGAGAACGAGAAGAACCAGAAGGAGAAGAAGAAGGAAGAGTACGACGACGACGACGACGACAACGACGACGACGACGACAAGGGACAGCAGCAGCACTCCCCCCGAGGGCGCCCGACCAGAGCCCGGACCCCGCAAGCAGCGAGGCCACCGGCGGCCACCACGGGGCAGTCCGGCCGCCCGCCGCCCGCTGCTCCCACAGCCGTGCCGCGTTGCGGTGGGCCTTCTTTTTTGGGGGGCGGCGACGGCGACGGCGACGGCGACGGCGAAAGCGACGGCGACGGCGACGACGACGACGACGACGACGACGACGACGACGACGGCGACGGCGACGACGGCTACGGCGACGGCGACGGCGACGACGGCGATGGCGACGGCGACGGCGATGGCGCCACGACGGCGACGGCGACGGCCACTGCGACGGCGACGGCGACGGCGACGGCCACGGCGACAGCGACGACGACGGCGACGGCGACGACGACGGCGACGGCCACGACGACGACGACGACGGCGGCGCCACGGTGCCGGCGACGACGACGACGAACCACGACGACGACGCCGACGGCGGCGGCGCCTGCGGCGACTACGAACCCGACGAAGACGATGACGCTGACGACGCCGACGACGACAACGACGCTGGCGACGACGTCAACGTCGACGCCGGCGGCGACGGCTGCAGACGGCGAAGGCGACGACGACGGCGACGGCGACGACGGCGACGGCGGCGGCGGCGGCGATGACGACGACGTTCCAGCATAGCAGAAGAAACCACGGAACAACTACGGGACGACCACAGAACAACGGGACAACCCGCGCCACATCGCCAGCAGATCATTGCAGGACTCGTCAAACCTGGCCCTGGCTACTTCTGGCCGATGATACCCTCTCGCCCGCTCGCTCAACCCCCCCAGCCCGCACACACGACACGACTAGAACCGACCCGAAACGGATTTCCTAGCGAGTGGCACTCCGTTTCACTGAGGTCGCAACCCGTGCCTTCCGTAACACGTCGCCGACCCCTTGGGGTCTCTCGGCGTGTACAGCCCGTTAGGAGGAGGGGTACATGAACCATCGGCCCCATCTGCTCCCCAACTGTCCCTGGACGGCCCCCGACAGCTCCACAATGCCACCAGCCACTCCCTGGCGGCCCAGGATTGCCCCCACCTCGCGTCAGATGGCCCTGGCACGTCCCAACATGGCGCCCAGACGCACCAAGATGCCCCCAAGACGCCCCGAGGCGCTCCGAGAGGATCCTCAACAGAGCTCCGATACGCTCATTGTTTCACCACGACACGACGCCCACCCCAATGACACGTACATCACGGCAACTACAAACACATCGAGCACTGTGAAAATATCAGCCTGCGACGGAAAAGCCCGCACGCAAACACTCGACATGAGGCAAGGAAACACTACGAGCACTGAGCGCCCGAAAATGTTGTACTTGTTACAGGGCGATCGGGGCGATCCCGAGGGCCCCAATAAGCCCAAAGTATCCGATTCCCTCGGGGGAAGCGTATCTATCTATCTATCTATCTATCTATCGATCGATCGATCTATCTGTGTATATATATATATATGCTGCGTACATCTGTATGCTATTTCTGTATGCACGGCCTGCACGAAGGCCCCCGAGGCCCCAAAGACCGCCCCAGGACGGCCAGCAAGGCTCCCCAGAGGACCCCAAGATGGCCGAAGAAGGCCCCAAGGCAGCCCAGAAGCACCAAAGACGGCCGACGATGACCACAATAGAGCCTCAAGAAGGTCTCAAAAAAGAGACTCGGACCTGATTTGTCAAGCTCTGCGCCCTACCAGGGCCCCCGAAACTGCCAGTAGGCCTCAAAGAAAGCCCCCAAAGGGCCCGAAGCCCCAGGGAAGCTCAAAATAAGCTCCCGCGCAGCCCCCCAGATGGCCAAAGAAGACCTCAAACTGCCTCTAAGACTCTGGACGCGAACACTTCCAACATGCCCCCGACTGCCCCCTCCTCGTCATCGTCGTCGTCATCGCCTCCCTCCCCCTATCCAACTCTGTTTCCTCCTCCTCCTCCTGCTCCTCCTCCTCCTCCTCCATCCTCCTCCTCCTCCTCTCCTCCTCCCCCTCCTCCTCCTCCTCTTCCCCAACTCCTCCTCCTCCTCCTCCTCCTCCTCCTCCTCCTCCTCCTCCTCCTCCTCCTCCTCGCCCTCCGCTTCATCCTCATCCTCACCCTCACCCTTCCAACTTGATCACCCCATCGCCCCCCGCCTCTTCCTCCTCCTGCCCGTCCTCTCCTCATCATCACCCTCCTACCCCGCTGAGTGAGAGCGTACTCCGTGTAATCCCTATTCGTCTCATTCTTCAGCCTGCTCGCCATCGTCTTCCTCCCCCTCCTCCTCGTCCTCCTCCTCATCCTCCAATTCCTCCTCCTCATCCTCATCCTTTTCGTCTTCACCCTCGTCAGCATCCCATCCTCCTCGTTCTCCACTTCCTCCTTGCCCTCTTTCGAAACATGCACGCCGACGAACGTACCTCACTCCTGCCTCGCACTTCGCCACTCCACCTGAGGATCGTTGCTGCATGGACTGGCGATGATTCGCTACACGTCCAGCACCTTCAGATACTCGCGGCTGCCGTCCGCAGGCAACGGGAGCATATCGAAGCCCCCGTTTTCCGACGCACGGAGGCCAAGTGAATCCACAAGCGAACAACCGTGGCTCGGGGTGACGAACCAACCGACTCTGTCATTCTAACTTCGCTGGTGCTTCCAGGGCTATCGGCATGTTACGGATCTCGGCATGGGGAAATCGCGACGTCAGGACCTCGCCGCGTGGCAAGGCGTCGCAAAGCATTGTGCGTGCTGTCTTTGAAGCCTGTGTCTGTCTCTACCCTCTTTCCCCTGTCCCCTCGTCTTAAGTCCCTCCGAGAACCCGTGATGGATCGTTCAGGTGTGGCTCCCAAGTCCTGAATAAGAGTTGCCGCAGCGCGCTCGCGGTTTCGCCCAATCATCCCCGTATCACCACGTTGCCAACGCACCTCTGACGTGCACGGCTTCTGTCTGTCTGTCTGTCTGTCTGTCTCTGCCTGTCTGTCTGTCTGTCTGCCTGTCTCTGTCTGTCTGTCTGTCTGTCTGTCTGCCTGCCTGCCTGCCTGCCTGCCTGCCTGCCTGTCTGTCTGCCTGTCTGTCTGTCTGTCTGTCTGTCTCTGTCTGCCTGCCTGCCTGCCTGCCTGCCTGCCTCTGTCTGTCTGTCTGTCTGTCTGTCTGTCTGTCTCTCTCTCTCTCTTTCTCTCTGTCTATCTGTCTGTCTGTCTGTCTCTGTCTCTGTCTCTGTCTCTGTCTCCCCTGCCCCCCACCCCAAAAAAGGCCAGCAAAGCAGCCCAACGAGACCACAACGGAGGCCCCAGAACCGCGACACGAGGGCGCCGAGAGGCCCGCGACGCAGCTCCACCGAGCGCACAGAGGGCCGCTTCTACACCGAGAGACACGAAGGATTGCAACGAAGGATTACAACAAAAACCAGTTGCAACGACGGATTGCAACGAAGGATTGCAACGAAGGATTGGGTTTGTTTTTCCAATCCTTCGTTTTTTGCAATCCTTCGGTTTTTTTGCAATCCTTCGAGCCAGACCAACAAAGCCTCGACCAAACTCGAAGCTTCTTGGACACCTCCCAGCGGCGCCGACGATCCCCACAGCAGACCACCACGGCAGCGGTATACCAGAACCTCCAGGCATGAACAGAGATGACACCGGCTGGCGGATGCGACGGAAGCCTGCAGAATCATCACGAGGATACGTCGGTGAAGAACCTTCTGGCAGCTTGATTCGCCGCGCTGGGCTGTGGCACTCCCGACGCACCGGCCTCGGTTGTGCACCCGAGGCGGCCCAGGCCGGCACTCCGCCAGAGGGGCCGCCTAGTGAGAGCACAGCCACCCGATCCATGGCTCCGGCCGGTGGAAGTCGAAGCCGTGCCGCTCCACGACCTCCGGGGTGAGCAGCGGCGCCGTGGACCAGCTCCAATCGCGGCCGAAGTCTGCCCGCCACCAGTCCCACGTCGAGACCAGTGGGTTCGCTGCTGAGAGCACCACCCCGCGGCGGCGCGCCAAGCCGGCCCACAGGGAAAAGCTGCCCGGGGCGCGGACCAGCACCGGAGCGTGCACCATCGTCGCGAAGTCGGCCTCCGCCGCGTCCTCGGCGCCAGGGCCCAGCAGGTCCTCCTCATGCGCCTTGTCCGTGGTATTGAACTGCCGCAGCACTCTCGCCTGGGGGAAGCGCCGCTGCAAATAGCCCTCCAGCGCTGCGGCCACCTGCGTGCAGGCCGGGCCCAGCTTGCCGCCGAGGATCAAGAACCGCAGCCTGCGCGCGTCCCGCCACGGCCTGGGCAAGTCTGCATATAGGGAGAAGGCGGCGAGGGGGTAGTTCGCGTTGAACGCCGGGAGGCAGCGCAGGTGCACCGCCACGTCGCTGCTCCGGAGCCGGGCCAGTGCCTTCCGCTCCGCGCCGCTCGCACGCAGCGCGCTGTGCGTGTCCCGCTGGACCTCCCCGCGGATGTGGGCCCACGCCGACAGGCACGTGTGCGGGTACCGCCACGCGCGCACCTCCCGCGGAGGGCAGGCCCCGCACGCCGCAGCCAGCGCCGTGGCGTTCCCGCGGGGCGGCGGGGGCGCCGCGCGGGGCAGGTGGCGGATGAAGTGCCCCGCACCGGGCGCCCCCGCGGCGGTGAAGGCCACCCCGGCCAGCCGGGCCAGGCCCCGCGCGTTCCAGTACAGCGACAGGGCGTTGCCCACGCCCACCATCCCGACCTGTGGGGGGCCGCACGGGCGGAGAGGCCGAGGCGCACGGGGTCGGCAGGACCGCGCCGCGCCGCCGAGGCATCGGCGACGTCAGGGGTGGGGGCGGTCGGGCTCCAGACCAACCCATAGCGCCGGTGCATGGGCGACGGGGCCCGATCCCCCGACCCCATGCTGCCAGGAAGCTGGACACGTGCCTGGCGCATAGATTGGCATGTGGTGGTAAGCCGCAAAAGCACCCCCTGCCCCCTTCGGGAGGGGGCCTGAGTTGAGCAGGGCCCAGAGCATCAGGGCGAGGGGGCCTCTGCTGACCGAACCGCCCAGATCTATGATCCCTGATGCGAAGACGGGGACCTCAGTGAGGCTACGCCTTCATCGTGTTATTCGGGTATCAGGGTCTGAGGTTCTTGTGCTCTCGACGGTATGGGACATCCGCGGGCCACGCTCCGGATACACCTGCGGCAGCCAGGCGCACCTGGCCACACGGGGGGCGCCGAGCGCTCGGGAGGGACGCCTGCACACGTGAGTGCCCAGCCCTCGCACGGAGGTGTGCCCACAGCTGCCTGCCAACTCGAGCCCCCCACCTGCAGCGACAAGCGCGCCACACGACTCGCAGGAGACGCTCCTCGCAAGTGGCCTGGATCCGGCGCGGGGGATCTGCGACACATGACACATCGAGGCAGACGTGTGCTTGTTCTTCCTGACGCTTGCGAGCAGGCGCTTCTCGCGAGTAGTGCTCAGTCGGGCTTGTCCCCCCACAGGCGGTTTTTCGGGCGAAAAAAATAAAAAATTGCAAAAGACACCCCGAAATTGCCGAACATAGTCAAACAACCGTCCCCAGACTATTCTGCACCATTTTGAAATGTTCCTCCTGTAGAGGGACAGGCCCGACTCCAGAGTGGTGGCGCGCGCTCGGGGAATCTGGGCGGCCCGGCGAGGCCGCGACCCCGACGGCGCGACCGGAAACAGCCCCTCCACCTCCGGGGGCGCCTCCCGGAGCCAGACGTACGGCGCGGCCCGCACGCCGGGGCACGCGGCCTCGGCGGGGAGGCCCGGGCCCAGGCCGCTCGCCGAGGCGCCGCTGTCGATGGGCCAGCTTTCTACCACCACTACCATGGGCAGGACGAGGCGGTCCTCCTCCTCCTCCTCGTCCTCCTCCTCCTCCTCCTCCTCCTCTTCCTCCTCCTCCTCCTCCTCCTCGTCCTCCTCTTCTCTTTCTTAATATTATTATCAGTATTATTATTATTATTATTATTATTATTATTATCATTATTATTATTATTATTATTATTCCGCCTCCTCCTCCTCCTCCTCCTCCTCCTCCTCCTCCTCCTCCTCCTACCTATAGGCGGTGGTGGTGGTGGAAAATGGCCACATCAGCTGTGGATCTGCGACAGCAGCCGCCCGTAGGTCCCGAAGATGCGCGCCTCCCGCTCCACCAGGCCCCAGCCGCGGACGACGGTGCGGGCCGCGCGCTGCCCCAGTCCGGCGATCCGGTCTCCGAGGCTCCCCGCGCGGACACGGGGAAGCCGGGACTGCCAGACCGATTGCTCGGTGGCAACTCCTGGGAGCCTCCCGGAGCATCGACGCCAACCGACGCCAGATCGGCGCTATACCTCATCGACTCCCAGACGCTGATCGACGCCCATCGGCGCTCAAGACGGAATTCAGCGGGTGAGGGTATACTTGACTACCTACCAGACCACCCCAACCCAACCCGAAAACCCGAATTTGACCCGAATTTCGGGTTGGGGGGGGTACGGGTTCCATGTGTTTTTTCAATGTTCCCCGGCCTTCGGGTTGGGTTGGGGTGGTTTGCTGGATGGTGAATACTAGGCTCCCACGAATTCCTGCCGAGCGATTGGCGCACCGAGAGCCCTTGGTCCAGCAACCCTGGCCGCCCGTCGCGGCGGCCCTCGGGGGCCCGGTCGCCGAGCCGAGGCAGCACCGGGCCCGCGGGACGAGCTCCCAGGGCTGCTGCGGGAAGACTCCCTGGCTCAGCCAGGCCTTCAGCAGCCCGTACCGCAGCTGCGCCACGCCCGCCTCTTACCAGCCTGGAACATATCCCTATCCCTATGCTGGGCATCGCCTCATCACGATGCCAATCTTAGGGATTCCCTTCGGTTTTCAGGGCGCATCCCTAAGATTGTCATCGCCTGTTCGCGTGTCAATCTTAGGGATACGGATCAGTTCGAGGCTGGTGAGCCTCCCGTATCTCCACGGCCAGAAGCAGGGACTCCACGTGGCGGGCCAGCAGGAGCAGCACCGCCTGGGGGCAGATCTCCGCCACGCTCCGCAGCAGGGCGCCCCGCCGCACCCAGCCCGCGACCGCGTCGGCCGTGGGCCCCCCTTCGCCGCGCAGCGAGTGCAGGCGCCAGCCGCTGATCTGCCCCCTGTCGCACAGCTCCTGTGAAGGGGGCCACACGCGAACCCTACCCCTACCCCCCGCGAGTTCTGAGGGGGAGGGTGGTGTTCACTTCACTCGGGAGCTCCCGAGCGAAGTGAACCCCACCTTTCCCCTCAGAAATCGTGGGGGGTAGGGGTAGGGTTCGCGTCAAGCTAGCCAGCTCAAGCGAGTCAAGCATGGCATGCCCATTCCCACCCGCCCTCCCACAACATAAGCAACATTGATGGCACAACTGGGGACTGCGCGGGCATTTCAGTGCGAGTGCAGGATACCCCAGGACACCGCATTCACGTCCGCGCGGGATGTGCGCCGCGTCCCACTCCCGCCACGCATTTCGCATCGTCGACGACAAGACTGGCCATGTTGAAAGAAACAACGGACACGTTCCGTCCTCCCACAACATAAGAAACAATGCTGGCGCAACTGGGTGCTGGCGCGTAGTTGTTGTAGTAGTAGTAGTAGTAGTAGTAGTAGTAGTAGTAGTAGTAGTAGTAGTAGTAGTAGTAGTAGCAGTAGTAGTAGTAGTAGTAGTAGTAGTAGTAGTAGTAGTAGTAGTAGTAGTAAGTAGTAGTAGTAGTAGTAGTAGTAGTAGTAGTAGTAGTAGTAGTAGTAGTAGTAGTAGTAGTAGTAGTAGTAGTAGTAGTACTAGTAGTAGTAGTAGTAGTAGTAGTTGTTGTAGTAGTAGTTGTAGTAGTAGTAGTAGTAGTAAGAGTGAGAGTAAGAGTAAGAGTAAGAGTAAGAGTAGCAGTAGTAGTAGTAGTAGTAGTAGTAGGAGGAGTAGTAGTTGTAAAAGTCGTAGTCGTAGTCGCAGTCGTAGTCGTAGTCGTAGTCGTAGTCGTAGTAGTCGTAGTAGTAGTAGTAGTAGTAGTAGTAGTAGTAGTAGTAGTAGTACTAGTACTAGTACTAGTACTAGTAATAGTAGTAGTAGTAGTAGTAGTAGAAGTAGAAGTAGAAGTAGAAGTAGTAGCAGTAGTAGTGGTAGTAGTTGGTGTTGCTGTAGTAGTTGAAGTAGCTGTAGTAGTAGTACTAGTAGTGGTGATGGTAGTGGTAGTGGTAGTGGTAGATGTAGTAGTAGCAGCAGCAGCAGCAGCAGTAGTAGTAGTAGTAGTAAAGTGGGGATACGAATAGGTAGTAGTACTAGTAGTACGAGTACTAATACGAGTATGATCAGCAAAAGTACTACAGGTAGTACAAGTCCCCGTGCGAGTAGTAGTAGAAGTAGTAGTACAGAGTAGTAGCACGAAGTAGAAGTGCGATACTTGTACTACTGCTAGACTGGTAGTAATGCCATTTGTAGTACAAGTTGCAGAACAAATAGTAGCAGGAGTAGTAGTAGTAGTAGTAGTAGTAGTAGTAGTAGTCGTAGTAGTAGTAGTAGTAGTAGTAGTAGTAGTAGTAGTAGTAGTAGTAGTAGTAGTAATAGTAGTCGCACCAATGGTATTAGTAGCACTAGTCAGGATGGGAGGGCCCGCGGCCCGCATGGAAGTCCGCGCGCGATGCGCGCCGCGTCCCACTCCTGCCACATATTTCGCAACATCGGCAACAAGGCAGGCCGTGCTGAGAGGAAAAAACGAAGACTTTGTATTGATTGTTTACAGCCAGGGTGGGCGGGCCCAGATTGACTGCCGCGCGCGATGTGCGCCGCGTCCCATTCCTGCTACGCTTTTCGTATCGTCGACGACAAGAAAGACGATGTTGAGGAGAAAAACGGCCACTTTGTATTGATTTTTTACAGTCCGGATGGGAGTTCCTGGATTGGGTCGCTATCGGCCGGAATACGAGGTAGGTGGGGGTATATAATAATAAGGAACAAAGATGTGGCCCCCTATCCTGAAGGGGCCCTGGGACACACAAATAAATACACAAGCATCAGGATCCCCCATATTTTCCCCTATTTTCTGGGTTTTCGTCTTCCCCCCCATAGTTTCCCATATTCTCCCATATTTCCTGGGGAATCGACGATGAATTGTGTCCGTGTGTTTCTCTTCCTCATGATCCTGGTTCTCCTCCAGCGACCGGAAGCGACAGACGAGGGGCACGATGCCGAGGGCCAGCTCGTTCAACCCGGCACCGGCGCCCGGGTCCGACGGGTCCACGAACTGCATCGGGCCCCCCGGGTCCAGTCCAGCACCTGATCTCTCAAACGCCGGCGTATCTGAGAAAGCCTCGGACCAACACCTGCCTGCCAGGAGAAGCACGCGGACGCCACGTTCACGGTGCATCTTGCCTCACGGCAGACGGAAGGAGCACGTGAACTCAGACGTTCATCATCCTCTCCTGGTTCACTCTGCTGATCTGGTGCGCGCGATTCATATCTTTGTCTTGCCCTGGCTGCCGTGGCAGTATGTTCTGCGTAGGCCTTCTTCGGCGACCCTATCCCAACCTCGGCGTCTGCGGTGCCCACCTTCTGGATAAACACATGCCCTGAAGGCGTTCGAGGTCGTTGTCTAGGTCCAGCTCCAACTCGTCGACGCCATGGGCCCAGGCCCAGGCCAGTGGAATCGCGAGCCGCGGCCGAAACAGCGACGGAGAAAGCGAAGAGCTGGAGAGCGGCTCGAAGGTCTCCTCTGTGCCTCCCTGCGTGGCCTTCCGATCTGAAGGGGCCCACAAACACACAAACAAAAACACACAAATAACAGGATTCCCCATATTTTCGTATATTTTCTAAGTTTTCGTCTTCCCCCCCACTTCCCATATTTTCCTGGGATCGACGATTAATTGTGTCTGTGTGTGTGTTTTTTTCCCCTCCAGACGATCGCTGGCAGTCTCTCGTGCGACCCAGTGGGCCCCGCCCCCACCCCTGTGCGTTGTCCCATGCTGCCCCCGCGCTGTGCCCCACCCTTTGCGGCCCCAACCGCGAGGCCCGCACGGAGACTTATACCCCAGAACTGGAGGGGCCCTGGGACACACAAATAAATACACACAAATAAAGATTCCCCATATGTTCCTATATTTTCCGGGTTTTTGTCTTCCCCCCCACTTCCCATATTTTCCCATATTTTCTAGGGAATCGACGATTAATTGCGTCTGTGTGTTTATTCCCCTCCTGAATAACGGCACACCGAGGGACGAGGTTCTACCGTTCTGGCTCCCTCACTCTTGCTTGCACGATGGCTTCTGGTTTCGAGGCGCTGCTCCGGAAATTGCCGGGGCGTTCGTGGACGTCTGTGTCCCACCCGATGCATCCTCGCACAGGATCACCAGATTAGCTGGCTGGGTCACTGGATCACCGTATCAACCCGACTACCAGATCAGTCGGCCAGGTCACCGAATACCGTGATGTAGGATCAGCTGGATCACCCGATCAGCTCGCCAGATCACCAAATCACAGGGTCAGCAGGATCAACGGATCACTGGCCGAGTAAAAGGATCACCACAAGATCAGCTGGATCAGCGGATCAGCCGGCCAGATCAACGGATCACCAGATCACAGGATCAGCCAACCCGATCACCAGATCAGCCGGATCACAAAAATCAGCAAGCCGAGTCACCAAATCATCAGATCAGCCAGCACCAAATCAATCGGATCACCAGATCACCCGATTATCAGATCAATCATCCGGATCACAGAATCAGTCGGCCGAGTCAACAGATCACAAGATCAGCCGGACCAGTCAGATCACTGGATCAGGTGGATGCGTCACCCGATTACCAGATCAGCCGGATCACCAGATCAGCTGGCCGGGTCACAGGATGAACCAGATCAGCTGGATCACCCGATCAATCGCCAGGTCACCAGATGACTGGATCAGCCAGATCACCCTAATAGCCGGCCGAGTCACTCGATCATCGGATTTGCTGGATATCAGCAAGCCGGGTCACAAGATCACCAGATGAACCAGCCAAATCACCGGATCATCGGATCATCGGGTCAACCAGATTACCAGATCGGATCAACCAGCCAGGCACCGAGGATCACAAAACATCACCAAATCAGCTGGATCATCGGATCAGCTGGCCAGGTCACGAGATGACTGGATCAGCCAGACCACTGGAGCAGCCCGCTGGGTCACCAGACCCCGATCAGCCAGATCTGGAATTCATGCCGACAAGGGCGCATTGCAGCAGCAATGATGAAGGCTGGATCTACTGTCATCGTTTCCTCCTCGTCCCCTTCGTTTCCTCCCTCTCCCTTCTCACAGCCTCGTCGTCCTTGAAACCTTGAAACTCATGGGCGATTCGTGTGCGTACGTGCGTGCGTGCGCGTGTGCGTGTGCGTGTGCGTGCGCGTGTGCGTGCTCGTGTGCGTGAGGGTGTGGGTGTGGGTGTGGGTGTGTGGGTGTGTGTATGTGACGACGCTTCTCCTGGTGCCCGCCTCGTGAGGCGACAGCATGCTCCTGGCCGCAGTCTGCAGCTGTACGCCTAGAGCCTGGCCGTGCAACTCTGAAGGGGCCCTGGGACACACAAATAAATACATACAAATAACAAGATTCCCCATATTTTCCTATATTTTCTTGGATTTTGTTTTCCCCCCACTTCCCGTATTTTCCCATATTTTCTGGGGAACCGACGATTAATTGTGTCTGTGTGTTTTTTCCCCTCCTGGAACTCGTCTCCCTGGCTGGCCCTGGCGCGCCCCAGGGCCATGGCCAGCCCCCGCGTGCCAATGCAGAGCCGATGGGCCCTGCGGGCTCCGGCCCCGAGTCCAAGCCAGGCTCTGGCCGGCCCCAGGCCCCGTCCAGACCCGGAGGGCCCTGGAGCGCTATCTCTTGCAAGACATCGGCTGCACCCGCCGCACGCTGCGTTGGGCTCTCGTTTACTTATGCCGTCGAGGGCGCACTGCAGCAGCACAGATGTGGGATGGATCTACTCGCAGTTCTCGTCGCTTCCGTCTTGTCGCCCTTGTTTCCTTCCCTCCTAATCCTCCACCTTATCGTTCTCCTCCTCCTCCTCCTCCTCCTCCTCCTCCTCCTCCTCCTCCTCCTCCTCCTCCTCCTCCTCCTCCTCCTCCTCTCCTTCCTCCTCCTCCTCCTCCTCCTCCTCCTCCTCCTCCTCCTCCTCCTCCTCCTCCTCCTCCTCCTCCTCCTCCTCCTCGAGGAGGAGGAAGAATGGGCAGCGGCAGCAGCAGCGGCAGCGGGAGGTCTCCAGAGCTCTCCGAGGGGGGTCCCTGGCGGCCTCCAGGGGCCCTCCCTCCCGAGGATAGACGGGGCGAGCGGCCTCGGGCCTCGAGCGACGCAGACCTCGAGCCTCGAGCTGCGAGCCTCGAGCGACGAGGGCACGCCCGAAAGACTCGACGCCTCGAGCCTCGACCCTCGGCGACGCAGGCCCCCAGGGGGGGGGCTCCCCCGCCCTCTCGAGGCCCTTTCCATTGAGCAAGGACCGGCCGTCCTGGCACTCCCATAGGCCCACCACGAGATGCTCTTTTGGAACCCGGAAGTGTTCCAAGAGCAGAGACACCGTTCTCAGAACATGCACCCGATGTGCCAAAACGAGACCATGTCGTCCAGAATGCTCTTAGAACCTGTCGTGCAGACCACAGACGGTTCTTGGAACATTCTCTGGTGGGCCTACAGGCGGGCCTTAGACGCTTCGCCGCTGCTCGATGCCAGGGGGCGGCGTCCCGTCCCGTGCCGGCCGCCGAGTGCCCCGCAGGGCCCGAGACTGGCCTCCAGCCGCGGATCAAACGGGGGGGGGCCTTAAGCGCGAGATGGCACTCGGGGATGGACAGACGCCCCTTTAGCAAAACGTGGTTCAGTGAAAACGACCTGAGGCCCAAACCTGGCGGGCGCCAGCCTGGAAAAGGACGGCCACGGCGCCCCCTCGAGAACCGAAAACGGACCATTCACGAATCGACGTGTCACTGTTGGGGGCCCTGTCCGCCCCCGAGGCACGGCGGCCTCACGCGGCGGCGCACGCGGGCCGCCAGCGCGGCGCGCCGCCCTGGAAGCGAGGGCACTCACGCGCGACCGTGCGTGGGCAGCCTGCGCGCCGGTGTCGGCACAGCCTCGCTGAAATGGCAAGAGGTCGGCCGCGTAGAGTTGTTCCAGACTCCTCTGGGATGCCTGGGCCGGAAGCGGCGCCAGCGGGCCCGATCCCCAAGATTGGGGAGCCCCACGCGCTGACAATCTCAGGGACGTCCCCTCGGAAAGCGAGGGGTACCTCTAGGATTGGCACCGAGATGAGGTGATGCCAATCACTGGAGCGGGGACGTGCTTCAGGCTGGCACACACACACACACTAGAGGCTCGACCACAAGAACCCTTCCACAAGATATCCAAACCTGAGACCCTAGGAGGCCCATCGATAGTTTGGGGCGGCAACGTCACGCTTCCCATAGCAAAGCCGTCGAAACCCAAGAAACTCGGGGCACCCTGGAGGCAAGCACGGTGTTTCTCGGCACGAGTCTCCACTGTACCCACGCGAACGGGGGCCAGGGGAACGAGCCACTTCGCCGAGCGTCCAGGGCGACGGCGTCGGAGGATCACCGTTGCATTGCCGCTGCATCGGAGACGCATCGGCGACGCCGGCGATGCGTCGGAGACGCCAGCGTGGCGAAAATCGAGCTCCGCATCGAGCTGCACCTCACGTCCGACGCATGTGCGGTGCACCGGCCATGCGGCGCGCGATCCACGGACCACACCTGCTTCGGACCTGTGTTGGGCGGCATGGACCAACGCGAAGAACAGGAGGGTGACCCTCCAAAGCCAGGGTTGCGCTTGGCCCCCGTTGCCAGCTGCAGAAGGAAGGCCGCGGGGCCTTATCGCTGCCAACCTCGGACAGGAGCATGAAGGTCCGCAGCGCTGCGGCGCTGTCGCCGAGCTCCCAGGAGCGTACCTTCCCGTATAGATTTGTCGTCGTCGTCGCCGCCACGATCGTCGCGGTCGTCAACTTCCTCCTCCAGCTGATAACTCCTCCCTGTCGCACTCCGGGCGTGTCGGCAGGACGGCCAGGCGTTTCGCTTCAGACTTCATCGTTTACGATTCCGACGCTTGAGATTCGCAAGTCTAGCGCCGCGCAAATTCGACATCAATGCTTGCAGCAATCAAAAGACTGGAAGACAGCTCTTGTCAAGATGCAGTTCCTGCCCATGCTCGTCGCAACATCTTGCAACAACCATAAGGATAATGTGCGGCTCATGTTTCAAAACGGGGTTCTCGCTTTAGAGCCGCGCACATCCGTCGCAAAAGCATGCGGCATCTACGAGAATGGAGGGCGGATCCTCTTCAACGTGGGGTTCTTGTTTGAGACGCTCTTTCAAAATAAGAAACACTGACTTCATCAGATGCACAAGCTACGCGAATGGGGGGCGGCTCCTTTTCAAAATGAGGCTCTCGCTTGAAACGCACTCCCAGCACATGACCATACACGCAGACGAGTGCAACAGCTACACGGCTGACAGGGTGAGACTTCTTCGAAGCGGGGATATCGATGGACGCGTGGTTCAACAGTATTGAAGGGGCCCTGGGACACAAATAAATACACACAAATAACAAGATTCCCCAGATTTTCCCATATTTTCTGGGTTTTTGTCTTCCCCCACACCTCCCATATTTACCCACATGTTCTTGGGAATCGACGATTCATTGTGTCTGTGTTTTTTCCCTCCTGAAATATGGCCATACCTTTTTGCTAGGAGGCCCCCTCCCGGCCGCTGCGCGCCTCCCTCCACGGCCGAAGGCCCACGCGCGGGCGCCCGGGGGGGGCACACCCGGGCCTGATGCGCCGGAGGTCCCGGAGGGAACTGGAACAGAAGAACAAACAACGCCATGAGCATAACCTGTTTGAAGACACAAATAAATGCACACACAAATAAAAGGATCCCCCATATTTCCCCATATTTTCTGGGTTGTCGTCTTCCCCCCCAATCCCTATATTTTCCCATATTTTCTTTGGAATCGACGATGAATTGTGTCTCTGTGTTTCTTTCCCTCCTGACTGTTGGCGCTCCGCGCGGATTCCTTGGACTTGCGCTGGACACCCCCCCTGTCGCGCGGAGCGCGCCAGGGGCGGCGCCGGAGGCGCCGCTGGGGGGCCCAGCGCGGACCCGAGAAATCCGCGCGGACGCCAACAGTTTATGTTCATTGTTTTTCGTTCCTCTTCGATGGAAGCGGTCTGGCGGCTCCCCGAGAGACGCCGCCAGAAGCGCCCGCGGCCCTGCAGCCCCGCCCACAGGCAAGCGCCCAGGGCACGGCATTGCCAGCGCCCACCAGCCCCTAGCTTTTCACCACCGCCTCAACCCCCCAACCCACCCCCACCCGCCAAACCACCCCCAACCCCCCAACCCACCCCCACCCGCCAAACCACCCCCAGACCACCAAACCCCCGAACCCCAGACCCACCCCCAAACCCACCCGCCCGCCCCCAAACCCACCCAAACCCACCCCGACCCAACCACCCCCCAAACCACCCTCCACACCACCCCGACCCGCCCACCAAATCACCCCCCAGCTGTGCACCATCCCCAAAACCCACCCGCCTGGGCCACGCGCCCCGCCTGCGGCCAACCGCCGCTGCCTCCGATGGCTGGATCCACTGCCAATGCCTGCTCTGAGGGGTTGGCGCATGGCCCGAGCTCCTCAGCCCGCCCAAGAGAACGCTGCCCCGCCCAACCCCACCCACCCTCCACCACCAAAGCCCACCCCTCCACTCCAGCCACCAGACCTTCCACCTGCGCCAGGGCACAGGTCCTTTGGGCCCTGCCCCCCAGGTGCGCGGGAACGGCCTCACGCCGCACAGCGCTGCCAGGCCGCGGACCAGGCCTGCCGCTTCTGCCGCCACGTCTGGGAAGCTGCCCCGAAGAGCCAGCGCGCCCGCCACCCGCTTGCCTTCTGGGGGCGCCAGCACCGTCGCATCGCTCCATGCTGCCAACAAGCCGCCGGCCTCCTCGCAGTGGACGAAGGAGGTGTATCGCCAGCTCCAGGGAGTGCCCGCACAGCCGGCACGGCTGCAGGTCGCCAGTCAGGTCCGACTTGGCGTGTCCAGGCGCAGGCTTCGTCCGCCCGGCACCCTGCGGCCATCAAGGCTGGGACCCCTGACTGTCTGCGCTGGAGCCCCTCCGCATGGCTGGTATGGCTCCACCTCCACCAGCGCAACTCGTCGCCCTCCTGATGCGCTCGCGATAGTCCCAGGACGTGCGCCGTCGGGCCTGCCACGCGGCCGGCCGGCTGCGCCCGCGAAGGCCAGAAATTGAGATGCATGAGCGCGCCCGCTACCGCTGCCCCCCACGAGCCGGGCGCTTCCTCCAAGAGGCCGAAGACCTTCTGCGCCTTCTCACACAGCGAGGGCGAACGTCCGCCCTGATTCTCAGCATGAACGCCATCTGCTGCCGTTGAGACTCGCCTGGTCCATCACAGCTGCCGGAGAAGCACTCCTCGGGGCACGGTGGGTCCGAGCACAGCTCGGCCCGACTCCTCCTGCGGGCAGTTGATCTGATCTCTCGCTCGAATTCCGGTAGGTGGAGGCAGAGCTCAACGCCGAACATCACCGCGGGCCGAAGGGAAATTCTCACGGCATCTAGCTGCTCTCTGGCGGAGAACCCGCGGTCCTGCACGGCCTGGATGAAACGCTTGCCTAGGGCGTGGCCTACCCCGAAGCACGCCCGCAAATGCCACTGCGAGGGGGACCGCCGTCTCGGACTACTCCCAGGCAACCCAGGCAGTGATAGGACGCGACGAAGGCGATGTTTCCGCACGGTCTGACATTCTGCAGCATGGCACGCCAGGACCGCTGTCTCCTTTAGCCCATACCAGAGGTGGCCCTGGTACTTCGTCGACGCCCTTATCAACCACGTTCCAGCCCAGGTCTCTGCCGTGCCATCCACCAAAGCCAGGCAAACCACATGGGTGGACGTGGACGCGTTGACCATGACCTGCTCCCATGTCGTCCCGGCTGCTAGGAGCACACGCCACTGATCCACCTCTTCGCCGTCCAGCTCGTCCACGTCCGAATGGTCTCGGGCTGCGTGGTACGTCTGCAGTGCTTCGTGGTCGAAACCCAGGCCAGCCCCAAGGCCTTCCCACTCCATAAAGGTCCTTCTCTTTGGTGGCGTTGGAGAAGCAGTAGAGTATCAGGCTGAAGTTTGTGCCCTCTGGCGTCGCCGCCTGGGGTAAGATTACCCGAGGTCTGAAGTTACGCGCCACAGCCTACATGATGATCCCCTGGAGCATCGCCTCCAGCTGGAACCATCCCCAGACCATTTTGGCTGTGCGGAGGCGCACTACCACGAGGGCTTCTCCTGTCTTGGGAGTCGAACGCCTCCGCCTCGTCGGCGTGCACTTCCGCTACTAGTCTGTCTTGGCTGGCGCAGAGGCTGCAACATTCGAGGTTGAGCAGGGGTGTCAGGCATTCGCCACCCGACTCCTGGGTCGGCGGGAAGACCGCCTGGAGGGCAGCCACGTGTCCCGGCGCCCACAACTCCTCCAGCACTCCCGCCTCCCTCCTCCTCCCCCATCCGCATACCTCCTCCTCCTCATCCTCTTCCTCCTCCTCCTCTTCCTCGACGAGGTACGAGGACCCGGGATTCGAGGATCGAAGCTTGTGGATGTCTGCCTCCTCTTGACCGCCATGGGCCGAGAGCCTCCAAGAGCCTCCAGGGGACCTCCCCATCCCTCATTTCTTCCTTCTCATCCTCCGCCTCCTCCTCCTCATCATCCTCATCCTCCTTTTCGTCAGGCCAACTTGGATGGACAGGGATCGTAACTTCAGCACGGTAAGCAAAAACAGCATTGCGCAGATAAACCGACTTTGGCGCTGTGACCAACCAATTAAACTCCAAGAGCGATACCACAACATAAGCGAATAGTATTTGAAAAAAGCTAGAAGCCCGCAAGGGCGCATAGCAAGTAAGCTAGCAGCCTGTAAGGAAGGAGGGAGAACGCTACCATAACCAAACCCACGACATATAAAAAATACACCGAAAAGGCAAGAGCCTAAGCCGGAGACACGATCATCGATCCCCTCGGGGTTTACCACTAGCCAAACAATGAACCCAAACAATGTAGTTTGTTGCACGCAATATGGTGCACCCTGGGCGGAGCAATCCAATGCGGCGCAGTATGTGTAACGCAGGGCAACGCAAAGAAATGCAAACCAGCGCAAACAAATGAGTAGGCAAAACGAGTCAATGCAAGGCAACGCAAAGCAATGCACTGCAAAGCAACGTGATGCAATGCAAAGGAATGCAAAGCAATGCCAAGACATGCAAAGAAATGCAATGCGATTCAAAGCCAGGCAAAACCGTGCAATGCAACGTAGCGCAATGCAAAACAAAGCAAAGCAATGCACGGCAACGCGATGCAATGCAAAGCAATGCACATCAACCCACAGCAATGCAAAAAAATGCAAAAGCGTGCCAAGCAAAGCACAGAAGTGAAACGCAACGCAAAGATATGCACGGCCATGCAAAGCAATGCAATGCAAAGCAATGCAACGCAATGCGACTGCAATGCAAAGCTATGTAATGCAATGTGCGTGCAATGAGTTTGCAATGCTATGGTGATGCGATTGAAATTCAAGGCAATGCAACGCAACGCAATACAAAACAATGCAACACAACTCGAAGCCATGCAAAGCAATGCAAATCAACCCAAAGACATGCAATGTAAGTGCAATGCACATATATACATGGAATGCGGTTTAAAACAATACACAGCAATACAAAGCACTGCAAAGCAATGCAAATGAATGCAACGTAATACAAAGCAATGCAAGACCACGCGATACGATTGCAACGTAGAGCGATGCGATGCACAGCAATGCAACGCGATACCACAGCAATGCAAAACCATACAAAACAATGCGAAACACTGCAAAGCAATGCAAAGCAACGCAATGCGATTGGCAATGCAAGTTGCAAAACAATGCACAGCAGTGTGATGCAAGAACTGTAAATAAATGCAAATCACTGCAGGGCAATGAAAGGCAATGAAGCGACGGATAACACTGCGATTGCAATGTGGTGCGAAAACAATGCAATGGAATGCAACGCAGTGCGATTGCAATGCGATGTCAATGCAAAGCAACGCGATTACAACGCGAAGCAATGCAAAACCATGCAAAGCGATGTAATGCGACGCGAAGCCATGTGAAGCAATGCTAGCAACGCCAAGCAACGCCACGCAATGCAGAGCTGTGCAACGCAACGCAACGCAGTGCGACCGCAGCGAGCAGCGAAATGGCACTACCGTCGCCCTGCACGGGCGGCGTCGACGGGCGGCGGCGACGGGCGGCGAGGGGCCGCGGCGAGCCCGCCGCGGCGAGCCCCTGGGGCCGCCCCGCGGCGACGGGTGGCGGCGACGGCTGGCGACGGGTGGCGACCCGCCGGCCCGGACCGACACAGGGGGCCCCGTGACCTTAGATGATGGGCCTGTTTTCCACCACCACCACCACCATAAGTTGGAGGGGGAGGGGGTCCTCCTCCACCTCCTCCTCCTCCTCCTGCTCCTCTTCGTCCTCCTCCTCCTCGTCCTCCTCCTCCTTCCCCCCTCCAATTTATGGTGGTGGTGGTGGTGGAAAACAGGCCCATCATTGGAGCACGAGTGCGAACCCCGAAGTGCAAGCAAGGTTTGGGGCAGAACTCCGCGGAGGGATAAGAGGCCTCCTTGACGGGGGTCGAAGTGAATCGGCCATGCACTGGCGATGCACCGGCGATGCATCGTCGACCTCGGCGACGCATCGGCGACGTCGACGTGAAGCAAATCTGGCTCCACATCGAGCAGCATCGCCGATGCATCGGCGATGCGGCGAGATCCTCCGACCCCTCTCCCAGGCTTCGTGGGGTTTTCGAATGGACCTCAAATTTTGGGCCCGACCCTGGGATATACGGGGAGGGTCGTCCGTTCCATGATGGGGTGCGTCCGAATAGTCCCCTGGGGGTGTAGGTGTGTGTATCCGCAGGATTGCCCTCTTTTTCTTAGCCGCTTCATTTCTCGTCGAACAGCTGGGGGCTGGGACAGAAACATCGCCTGCGACGCAACTCCACAGAGGGGTACTGCCGTTGTTCGGACGGCTTGCGAAGCACAGCGTGCCACAGAGAGAGGAGGGGCGGAGAGGAGGGAACAGGCCGGCCACCCCGAGGTTCCCGTCAGGGACCCCCCCCAGCTGCCTCAGCCCTCAAAGGGGCAGGGAGGGGCGCCGGCAAGGGCGGGGAGGGTGGCGGGCTTCGCTCCCTATAGGCCGCCAAGGCCTCAGACGCCGCGGAGGGGTACGGTGAGAGTAAGAGGAGCAGAAGAGGCATCCGAATTGCAATCCTCTCGGGCTCTCTTTGGAATCCGATGGGTTTTGTTGGGGGATCCTGTTACGGTATTGGTGGGATCCCGCACTGAAGGGTCTGGGGGCGGAATCTCACGTCCATGGGGGCGAAGCGAAGCGAAGCGCCGGAGGCGTGCGTGCTCCTACGGGGGGCACGCCCGTGCCCATGAGGGCATGGCGTGGAGCCCGTGGCCTCAAACATGTGAAACATAGGCAGACTCACGTGATAACCACCACTCAGTGCTCCCAACCGCTGATAACCACCGCAAGTCGTGTGTGCTGTTGTTTTGGTGTTGTCGTGGTTGGGTCGCCGCTCGGATCTACTCCTGCCTGGTGTCGGTGTCGCAGTGGTTCCCGTCCAATGTGTGGAGAAGCTTCCGGATGTCGTCGTCCCATCGTGTTTGTTGCCCTCATTGTTGCCGTCGTCCTTGTTGTCCAGTGTTGAGATTTGGGTTCCAATTAAACACTCTGTGTCCAGCGTGTCGGAGGGTGAAGAGCTACCGTATTTGCCCAGCGCCAGGCCATCCTTCGGTGTAGGTGGAGCACATCGGGTATATCATGTTTAAACATAAATGTCTCTGCTCTCCGTGTACTTAGGGGGGCGAGGAGCGATGTAGTTTCGCTGGCTGGGAGGGGGTGCTTCTTGCCGTGATCTACTGATGTAATGCAGGCGGCA